CGGTGCCCGAAGGTTGGGGGGCGCCTCCGGCCGCAGGAACTGCGCTTTCACCGTTGTTGTTCTCTATGGAAACGTCACCGGCAGATACGGAATTTTACGTCGAACCCGAACTGCGGGGTATTCTGTAACAAGAGATAAGGAAGTGCCTCTGGACACCGCCCGAAAGGGAGCCTGGAGGCTGCGGGCACACCTCGGGGAGCCCAGACCCCACGAGCGGGGCTGAACAAGCTTCAGCTCCCTCGGGGAATCGAGCGACATGCAGGCACTACAAAACCCAGCCGACAGGCAGGGCCCCTCCTCAGAGGCACCCAGCTCGAGTTTTAACTCCTGTGCCATATTAAACGTCGTAGAAAAAGGAACTCTGATCATTTGTTACGGTGGAATCTCAGGACAAGCCCTGCTGAGGTGGCAACTAACTCCTGCACCACATCCCAGCACCCAGGCTCTAGCCCCAGCTGCAGCATTTCCATTACCTATAACTAATAACAGCAATAATGATAAATGTACTGCAAACGACCAAGCAACTGCCCTGCAGAGGAGCCAGACCTCTCCAATGGCAAGGATCCCTCACTGCTTCAGAACGGACATGGCTGAAGACAGAATCCAGCTAAGAAACGAGTTCACATAAGATCTGAAGGACAACAGTTCTCACCTTTGTCAAGTCCCACAAGAACCTGTCCGTGTGTGTGCCCCTGCACGTGTCTGTGGCCCTGCTGGTGTGTGTGTGCACAAGTGAACAGAGATCCAAAAACTCATGAACATTATCAGAGCAGAAAGAAACTAGCTGTAGCTGTCTTTGTTAAGACACACGAGGTTAGTGCAAGAGGTACAAAGAAACAAAGTATTTATTGTTAAAAGCTTTTCTACGAATCACTCGGCATCATACAATGAAGATATGGTGGTGACAGAGTAGAGGGAGTGTCTCTCTCTCTCTTTTCTTTCTCCCCCTCCCTTTATTTGCTCACTCTCACAAACCCACAGTTGAATTTTTTAAATGGAGTTCCTTTCTTCAATGAGATTGGAAAAGGTGTTTATCAGACAGGATCTGGCAGAACAGATACATCCTAGTAAACAACAGAGCAGTTACAGAAAGGAGACCTCCTCCTTCAGGAAAAGAAAGAGCTCTCTTTTCCCCTTCATCTCTTTGCGCTGCCATAAGAGGGTTCTCGACACAAAATCAGGCCAAAAAAGTCCCAATAATGACTGGCATTTTGGCAACATTAGGAGTCCTACAGTACACACCAATATTCATATATGCACTAATATTTTCACTCAGCATCCACAGAATGAATTCTAAACAATGTCGTGTAAAAAACCTGCCAGCTGAAACCACACCTGCACTACAACTGCCAACCCTGCCGAGTTGAACAACTGAGTCCCTGTGGATAACAGTGGAAAATGTTTTGACAGCGTATCTCAAAGTTATGTGCGGAACAGTCAGTTCTGTCCTGCACGCCTGTTCCCAGGCTACACCCAAGGTGAGACCAGCTCTTTCCCACACACAGAGACACGCACACAAAACCAACTGACTTGCAGGGACCGTGCTGTCTCCAGCGGCGCTCTGCACGTTGTCCCGTGATATGTCTCACTGGCACTCCACTGGCGCTCTGCTCCATCTCTGTATTTCCTTTTCCACTGCTGTATTCTTCTATTCCGTTATTAAACATTTGGTTTCCCTTTAGTTTCTAAGAAACACTTCGTCTGAATCCTGATCCGTGGCCAACAGCATAAAGGACTAAAAAGAGTGTTTCAAACCTGCCATGTCAATGCTTCCGCTCCAAGATACACTTTCCTTCTACCAATACTCCAGAATTCTGGTTTAACACTTTCCTAGTTTGATGGTCTATTTTTAACAATCCGTATTATCATCTATACATTAACTATTTCTACAGACAGAATGGGTTTTCTGCAGTACACACAAATTTATATTGTACTGTGGCAGCAACTGAGGACCCCAAAACATCTTCACTGAAAGGGTGGTGAAGAATTGGAATGGGTTGCTGAAGGAGGTGGTAGAATCACCATCCTGGGACATGTTTAAAAAAACAGCTGGATGTGGCACTTCAGGAGATGGTTTAGTGTTATCGCGGTGTAGGGCTCTAAGTTGGACTTGATGATCTGAAGGTCCTTTCCAACCTTTATGATTCTATGATTCTATCTTCTTGTCATCTTTTATACACATAAAAAGATGACCATCCTGAACTTAAAATGAATTTATTGTTCACAATCTGCCACAATTATGTGCCTGTTCATTACCGCTGCCTTTCATTTTTCATATGCCCAAGCCGCATTTGGTCCAGTTCCTCCCAGCATTGCTCTGTTATTTCTCTTCAAATATAAGTTCTGGTTTTTGCAAACAAGCAAGCTCAAAGCTGTGCTCCTGGAACACAGGACAAAATTTCTCCCTGTTACTCTTCAGTAGAAGGCCTGAACTGCTTCTGAACACAAGAAAAAAGCATCAAAATCAAAAACTCCATTTTAACCAACAGAAAGATACCTGACAGCTATTCCTAAGACTCACTGTTGGCAACCACTCTTTGTATGATCAGTGGGAATATGGGCAGTGGGACACAAGAATTTCGATTTTGGATTGCCGCCTTCAGTGCCATCTGCAGCGCTGGCTCACGCACACACACGTCAGTACAGCATTGGCGCTTACATAATTTGCTTTCCAGCGATGCTGTTGTGGACGCTGGGAAGAAACATCACACCGGTTTTGTTAATTTGCTCCGAGACTCGGAAACAGACCCATCCAATTAACTCTGCAGAGAGATTCTAAAAGCAGCTGTGCCAGCTGTGGCACATGACTGAAACTCCCCAGGACAAGTATTTCTCACTTTGATGGGAAAGTTCTCAACCAAGCAGAATTCCCTGGAAGAAACCCTGTACATGTCTATCCCAGGCCCAGGCCCTTCTTGCATCCTTGTGTATCTTCCTCCCCATTTCTTATTCCTGGAGACCGAACGCATCCCCTGACTGTAGCTGCTCTGTTTACCACACACAGAAAAGAGTTTTATACACTGGACAGCATGCACACAACCAACACGGCAGCATAATAAATATGGAAGCACAGTAGCAGATGACCCCCACTGTTTTCCCTCATAATGCTTGCCTGTAATACAATTAGTGGAGTTCTGAAGTGAGTAAGATTTCAAGCCATTCACTGTCTGGCAGCCTCACAGCCCCTCGCTACACTCGATTTGACTGCAGGATTCCACGTTTTACTGTAAAAAGAGGTTTTAACACCAAAAAAAGTTCCAAACGGAGCCACTCCCAGTAAAAGGCCTCAGGCAAAGAGGGACAGCTATGCTTTTCCTCATGCTTTTTCTCACACCAATGGTTTTGCCATCATATGGCTGCAATCAAATGTAGATTTTCCAAGACATCTGGAAACACAAGGGACAGAGTAAAAGCTATGGCACTATCAATGTGAAAGCAGAGGTATTAATTAAAGGGGTGGAAGAGAAGACTACTTCTTCTGTGACTGGACAGAATACACTTTTAAGTTCAATTAAGAAAGAAACTGGCAAAGATAACAAGAGAAAGGGACACTACCTCAGCAAAATGCATTATTCAGAAGATCTGCCTCCTTTCCGTACCACACGTCAATTTGACTCTCCTTCCAAGAAAGTGAAAGAAAGGAGATGAAAAGGAGTAGCCCAGAAGAGGATTTGGAGTGCCACATCATCTCAACAATGAGTTCTACTTTGGAAGTTGCTTCCTGGACTAGAAATCTTGTTGGGCCATTAATTACAAACTAATCTATGTGACACAAAAAATGAGGGTAGGAGGATTTAATGAAGATATCCTTGTTTCCATGTAAATATGGTATAAATTCCTATAGTCTGAATTTGCCATACATTTACAAAGAAGATAGTTCCCAAGGGATACGATCTCTGTGCTCTTTAAGGCTGATAGTGCTTTGTAACTGAACAGCATCCTATATAACCAGTACGTGTCATGTAGGGGGGAACTAAATAATTCACGGTAGGAGGCAGTTCACCTATGATCAAAATGGGAGACCAATCCAGGGACTCTGATAGCATCTTGAAATAAAAAACTGCCACATTACATGAAGTTAAGCTTCTTGGGTTCGGCACCAACTTAACAATCAGAGAAATTCTTTTCAGTGTTGACCCCTACCAGCACACAGAGAAATACTGAAGAAATCTTGTATTTTACATATATGCTTATTGTTAGTATCTGCTGTGTTCAAGGCAGGTATCTGCAAAGCACCATTAAATTATTTTCATTTTCTCAGAATGCCTCATTTCTTGCTACATCCTCAGCTTTGCTAACACCACTGATATAAGGATGCCTACAGATCCCAGGGATAATTCTCTTCCTCTCAGTACAGCACACTGGTCACACCCATGTTGTGACATGTCATACCTTTCACTGTGGGGGCAAGGGAAAGA